TAGTCCCAGCTACTCAAGAGGCTAAGGGTAGAAAATCATTTGAGTCCAGGAGCTCTGAGCTGTAGTGTGCTATGCCTATTGGGTATCCAAACTAAGGTTGGCGTCAGTATGGTGACCTCCCAAAAGTGAGGGACCACCACATTGCCTAATGAGGAGTGAAGTGGCCCAGGTTAGAACCAGAGCAGATCAAAACTCACATGCTGATCAGTAGTGGGATTGTGCCGGTGAATAACCACTGTACTCCAGCCTGGGCAACATAGCAAGACCCTATCTCTTAAAAAAAAATTAGCACAAGGTGAAGCAGCAAGAGCTGATGCAGAAGCTACAACAAGTTAGCTAGAAAAGATGCAGTGAAATAATTAATGAAGGTGCCACACTAAACAATACATTTTTAATGCAGATGAAACAGCTTTCTCTTGGAAGAAGTTGCCATCTAGAACTTTCAAGATTAGAGAGGTGAAGTCAATATCTGGCTTCAAAGCTTCAAAGGACAGGCAGACTCTTTTGTTAGGGACTAGTGTAGCTGGTGACTTGAAGTTGAAGCCAATCACTGTTTACCATTCAGATAATTCTAGGACCCTTAAGAATTATGCTAATTCTACACTGCCTGTGCTGTATAAATGAAATAACAAAGCCTAGATGACTGCACATCTGTTTATAACATGGTTTACTGAATATTTTAAGCCCATAGTTGAGATCTACTGCTCAGAAAAAAAGACTCCTTTCAAAATATTACTGCTCATTGACAATGCTCCTAGTCACTCAAGGGCTCTCTGATGGAGATGCACAAGCAGATTAATTTTGTTTTCATGTCTGCTAACACAACATTCCTTCTGCAGCTCCTGGATCAAGGAGCAATTTTGACTTTCAAGTCTTATTATTTAAGAAATATATTTCATAAGGATAGAGCTGCCATAGGTAGTGATTCCTCTGATGGATCTAGACAAAGTAAATTGAAACCTTCTGGAAAGGAGTTGCCAGTCTAGATGTCATTAAGAACATTCATGATTAATGGGAGATCATCAAAATATCAACATTAACAGGAGTTTGGAAGAAGTTGATTCCAACTCTCATGGATGACGTTGAGGGGTTCAAGACTTCTGGAGGAAGTAGCAGCAGATGTGGTAGAAATAGCAAAGATCTAGACTTAAAACTGGAGCCTGAAGATGTGATTAAATTGTTGAAATCTCATGATAAAACTTAAATGAATGAGGAGTTGCTTCTTATGGAAGAGTAAAGAAAGTAGTTTCTTGAGATGTTATCAATTCCTGGTTAAGATGCTGCATACATTATTGAAATGACAACGAAAGATCTAAAATATTACATAAACTTGGTTTATAAAGCTGTGGCAGGGCTTGAGAGGACTGATTCCAATTTTTAAAGATGTTCTACTGTGGATGCTATCAAACAGTATTGCATGCTACAGAGAAATATTTCATGAAAGAAACTGTAAATTGATGCAGCAAACTTCATTGTTAACTTATTTTAAGAAATTACCATAGCCACCCCAACTTCTAGCAACCACTACCCTAATCAGTCAGTAGCCATAAACTTTGAGGCAAGACCCTTTCCCAGCAAAAAGATTACAACTGGCTGAAGGCTCAGATGATCATTAACATTTTTAGCAATAAATTATTTTTAAATTAAGGTAGACATTTTTTAGACATAATGCTACATATGTTGTATGCTTAATAGATTATATAGTACAGTGTAATCATAACTTTTATGTGCACTGGAAAGCCAAAAAATTTGTGACTGACTTTATTGTGATATTTGCTTTATGTGGTGTTCTGCAACCAAACCTACAATACCTCAGAGGTAAGCCTGTAAAGACTTTCCCAGTCAAACAAAAATTGAGGGAATTGTTTTTCCAGTAAACCTGCCCTGTAAGAAATGTTAAAACAAGTTCTTCAGAGAGAGGGAAATGATACAAGTCAGAAATTTGGCTCTATATAAGAAAGGAAGACCACTAGAGAAGGAATAGTGAAGGTAAAATAAAAACTTTTATTTTTTTATTTTTAATTGGTTGAACAGATAATAGTTTATTCAAAATAATAATTGCAACAATGTATTTGGTGACTGTAGCTTATGGCTATCTTGCATTACCCAGTAAGTAGTAAAATACTATTCGAAAGCAGACCAAAAAAAGTAAACAAATAGGAAGCATATCGTAATTGATAAACCAAGAAAGGAGAAAAACAGAATCATATAAAATGCTTAATTAAAACTATAAAAGGCAAAAAAAATATGGAAGGCAAAAATAGGAACAAAGAACAGAGGCAATGAATGGAAAATAGTAATAAGTACGGTAGATATTAATCCAACAATATCAACAGTTACTTAAACATCAATGGTCTAAACACACCAACTAAAAGAGATTGTCTGCGTGTATCATAAGACCCAACTATATAGTGTCTATAAGAAACTCACTATATATATATATATATAAGTGTGTGTGTGTATATATATATACACACACATATATATAACTCACTATGTAAACTCACTATAAGAAACTCAATTTTAAGTTTTCATTTAGATGAAACACAAAGGGATTGAGAAAGATATATCATAATAACACTAATCAAAAGAAAGCTGGAGTAGCTACATTAATTTTAGATAAGCAGACTTCAAAGCAAGGAACATTACCATGGATAAAGAGAAGTATTACATAATGACAAAGGAGTTAATTCTCCAAGAAGACTTAACTCCTTAATATGTCTGTGCCTAACAACAGAGCATTAAAGTATTTTAATACATGAGGTAAAAACTGATAGAACTCCAAGGAGAAATAGTTGAATCCACTATTATAGTTGGAAATTTCAACACCCTCTATCAGTAATGGACAGATTCAGCAGGCAGAAAAATCAGTAAACAATATAGTTTAACTCAACAGCACTATCAATTAACTGGATATTAATTACATGTATAAAATACTTCGTCCAACAACAGCAGATGACACATTTTTCTCAAGCTCATATGTAACATTTACCAAGATAGACTACATTCTGAGCCATAAAACACATCTTAAAAATTTAAAAGAATAGAAATCATACAATGTCTACTCTCCAATCACACTTAAATTAAATTAGAAATCAGTAACAGAAAGGTAGCTTGAAAATCTCAAAATACTCAGAGATTAAGCAACACATTTATGAATAACACATGGGCCAAAAAAATCTCAAGAGATATTTTAAAGACAATGTCGTCAATATGTTATTTCTTTTCAATTTGATCTGTAGATTGAATGTAATCCCAATGGAAATCACAGCAAAATATTTGTGGACATTGACAAACTGATTCTAAAATTTTATGTGAAAGGCAAAAGACCCACAGTAGCCAATATAATATGCAAAGAGAACTAAGTCAGAGGATTGACAGTACTTGACTCCAGGACTTACTATAAAGCTACAGTAATCAAGACAGTGTAGTATAGGCACAAGAACAGACAAATAGGTCAATGGAACAGAATAGAAAGCCCAGAAATAGACACACACAAATATAGTCAACTGATCTTTGACAAAGGAACAAAGGAAATACAGTGTAGAAAAGACAGTCTTTTCAACAAATGATGCTGTACAACTGGACATCTGCATGCAAAAAAAAAAAAAAAAAATCTAGACCCAGAAATTATACCCTTCAGGAAAACTCCAAAACACTGATAACAGCAAATGCTCCCAAGGGTACAGAGCAACAGGAACTCTCACTCATTGTTGATGGAATACAAAATGGTACAACCACTTTGGAAGAATTTGGCAGTTTCTTACAAAACTAAACATACTCTTACCACGACCCAGCAATTACATCCCTTGGTATTTACTCAAATGAGTTGAAAACTTAAGTTCACACAAAAACCTTCACACCAATGTTTATAGAAGCATTATTCATAATTGCTAGAACTTGGAAACAACGAAGATGTCCTTCAGTATGTGAATAGATAAACAGTGGTACAACCAATGGAATATTATTCATCACTAAAAATAAAAGATCTATCAAGCCATGAAAAGACACATAGGAAACTTGAATGCAATTATTAAGCAAAAGAAGCCAATCTGAAAAAGCTGCATTACTGTATGATTCTAATTATGTAACATTCTGGAAAAAACAAAACTATGGAGACAGTTATAGATCCACATAGCCAGAGGTTTGGAAGAAGGAGGAAGATTCAGAGCAGAGAGGAATTTTAGGGCAGTGAAATTATTCTGTATGATACTATAATAATCAATATACATGCATTATTCATTTGTGAAAACTCACAGAATGTACGACACCAACTTTCCACTCAATTTTGCTGTGAAGCTCAAATTGCTCTAAAAAATAAAGCCTATTTAAAAAAAAAATGTGCTAGGCATTTGATGAACTAGAAAATAAGAGTATGTTTCTAACAGAACAAAACCACCACCCTGCATTAGTGAATGGAATACTTTTTTTTTCTTAAGGGCATGCTATGTTGAAGCACACAAATTTAATTAAAGAATTGGCAAGACAACTTACGGTGAAAGTTTTGGAGATTAAAGTCTATGAACATAGGCAAGACCTAATGGTGGAACTGAAGTTTTAATTGAAATGTTTGGACAAGTTTTAAGGATCAAAATTTTTACTTTTTTTGGTTTGTTTTTAGGAAGAATGTCAATGGAGAATACTGCTTGACGACTTGTAGTCAGGTAAGACAACTTTTTTTTTTTTTTTTTAATAAGAGGAGCACTTTTTTCACGGGGAATTCATTTCTGTGCAAATGCTAAGAAGAGAATGGAGTGGTGGTCTTGGTCCTTGTCCCCTTTCCAAATAGTGGTGTGGAAGCTCTGGCAAAGGGGAATGTGTGAAATGTTCACTAGTGAGGGCAGGAAGCTTAAAGAGGCCCCACCTCACCCGCCAGGGTTGCTGTAGACCACGCCCGAGTGAGGGCGGTCAGGCAGCCCAGTGACTGTGTTGGGAAACACAGAGGCCTTTCTCCTAAGTCTACGTCTGGCTACTGAGGCCTTGTCTCTGGGTGTGCTCACTCACATTCGTCTGTTTGTGTGCCTTCGCTCGCGTCTGCGTGGCCTGCCGGGGCGCGGGGGAGGGTAAGGGGCAGACCCTCTGCCTTGGTGCTGAGCAGAGTCTGTGCGGATGGGGCTCAGCCGCGACTCTCGGCCAACCATCCAGTTTGCTTCGTTGGTATTTCGGATTTGGCGCGCCAAGGTGTCGCTGGAGAATTGCTGGCCCTGTAAAGACCGATCAGAAGGCAAATAGGTGTCTTGGCGGTGGGGCGTAAACATCGGTCCAGAATGGGGACAGGGAGACCGCCAGGACGAGGCCGGTTCACCTCGCCTGTCTTCGGGCTGCCTCCTGCCCGCGGGGTCTGGACGTCTGCCGGCTGGGCCATCCCTGTTCCACCCGCCCATGGGTTCGCGGCAGGGAAGGTCCACGCCCCAGGCGTCCGCCACATGGGCCAGCAGCAGCATTGAGAGGTGTCGGTGCGCCCATTCGTCCCAGTGCACGCCGTCTCGCTGCCGATGCTGCCCAGCATGGCGGAAATGGAAATGTAGGTCCAACACGTCGACGCCATGCCTGCCCGCCTCCACCGAGCTGTAGAAGTTGGCCTCCAGCACGTCCTGCCGCAGGCGGGCGCGGCTGGACCAGGGCTCAGGCGGGAGGAAGCCCCCCGAGACGGTCTCGGCCACGGGCATGGCCGTGTTCCACACCAGGAGGCAGGACTGGGGCAGCACCTGGGCCAGGCGCCCAAACAGGCTCTGCAGGCCCCTGCAGTAGCTCCTCCGGAAGTCCTGGCCGTACTTGGAGACGTCCCAGAGACAGGAATTCATGACCACCACGTCCGGGGTGTGCTCGCCAGACTGCAGCTCTTCCAGAACGGCCTCGACGTACTGCGAGTAGGCGCGCGTGAGGAAGTAGAAACGCACCAGGTGGTGGCCGTCGCAGAACTGGCGCACCTCACGGTAGTCGGTGCCGTTGTGCATGCGGCCCCACCTGCCGCCCTCCAGCAGCACGTCGCGCTCGAAGCTCAGCTCGCCCTTGGCCTTCAGCTGCCTGGAAGAGAGCAGGCAGTCCCTCTGCAGCAGGAGCACCAGGTCCTTGTACACGGCGCGCTGGATCGAGTCCCCCATGATGACTACGAACTTGTTGTGCAGCAGCTGCCGGACCTCGCAGGCGCGCAGGTGGGCCATGGTGGCTGAGGGCTGGGAGGCCGGCTGCGTAGCTCCTGCCTCCCCTCAGCGGGATCCAGGGAGAGCTTAGGGGAGGGCAGAACCGCAGGGGGAGGAGAGGGCGGGCAAAGGGTCGTTTCTGCCTGGCGCTGGGGCAGGGGCCTGAAGCCCTCCTCAGCTTAGGTTTACCTCAGCCCGGGACGTGACCTCTGAACCGCGGAGGCGCCCGTGCGAGCCCAGACTCCACCTGGCGGAGGGAGGCGCAGAAGCCCCGGGGGAGCCTGCCCCTGCCTAGCGGTGGAGTGAGGGCTCTCGTTCCGGGTGTCCGGATCCGTGCCTGCTTTCAAATAGCACGGCCTCGAACTGCTAGTCTACACTCGGGCTCAGCCAGGCCACGACCTTCTCTTTGTTTTACCCATAGCTCACTAAATGGGAGCTGTTGTCACATCTGGATGCCTCTCTTTAGTGTTTCCATCTCTAGTTGAGGAGAATTTCTTCATTGCTGGCTTGATTCTCCTTCTGAGCCAACTCCTGTATTCCTGGCATTTGGGGTATGTCGCCACAGGGGGAGGGCTGCCATTCCCAGGGGTAGAGCCTAGCTTGGGGACTAATCTACTGCTAGGCTTTCCAAGAAGTGGTTGACGGAATACTCGGGTCCTGTGCAAATCCTGGAGGGCTAAACTCTGTTTATTTCTTTTAACAAAATTATTTTTTGCCATTTCATGGGAGATTCACCTGCACTTGTTAGAAATAATACAGAGAGATCCCCGTGTACCCTTTCCCCACTTCCCCCATGGGTAGCATCTTGGAGAACTATCGTACCTCCGCACACTCAAAATCCAGGCCATTTCCTCACTGCACAGATACCTCCCATTGTCCTCTTATTGCCATTCCACCTCCCTCCAGCTCCATTCCCCTCATGCCTGACAACCACTAAGCTATTGCCCATTCTCAGAATTTTGTCTTTTCAAGAATTCTACATAAATGGAATTATATAACACGTAACCTTGATGGATTGGCTTTTTTTCCTCAGCATTGTTCTCCAGAGATTTGTCCAGCATGTCCACTTTGTAAACCCTGACCACCTGTTTTCTGAACTAGGAAGTGAGTTTCCCAGTGGTACAAATGTGTCAGTACTTTGTTCCCTTTTTATTGCTGAGTACTATTCAATGGTATGGATGTACCACAGTACAGATGTACTCATGCACAAATTCTTATCACAAGAGACTCTACAGAAACCACAACCTTGCACAGAGGCCATCACAACCTTATACAAACCAGTGACCCTTTGAAAGCTGTGGGATTGTTTCCAGTTTTCGGCTATTACACATGACACTACTATGAGCATTCCTGTACAAGTTTTAATACAAACCTAGATTTTCATTCTCTGAGATAAGCCCAGAACTGTGATTCCTGGGTGGTATGGTGGTTGTGCATTTACTGCTTTAAGAAATGCCCAGACTAGGCGGGGCGTGGTGGCTCACCCCTGTAATCCTAGCACTCTGGGAGGCCGAGGCAGGTGGATTGTTTGAGCTCAGGAGTTCGAGACCAGCCTGAGCAAGAGCGAGACCCCATCTCTACTAAAAAATAGAAAGAAATGATCTGGACAACTAAAAATATATATATAGAAAAAATTAGCCGGGCATGGTGGCTCATGCCTGTAGTCCCAGCTACTCGGGAGGCTGAGGCAGTAGGATCGCTTGAGCCCAGGAGTTTGAGGTTGCTGTGAGCTAGGCTGATGCCGCGGCACTCACTCTAGCCAGGGCAACAGAGTGAGACTCTGTCTCAAAAAAAAAAAAAAAAGAAAAGAAAAAGAAATGCCCAGACTATTTTCCAGAGTGGCTGTACCGTTTCACATTCCCACCAGCAATGCACGAGTGGTCAGTTTCTTCTTTTCTGAGTTATAGATATTCACATCCTGGATATGTAAACTCTAGAATCCTTCTGCGTGGAGATGAATATGACCTTCCTGGTTGTGTGAACCCTAGTCTCCTTCTTCCTTGGATAGCTGTATAATGCATGCCTCCTTCATCTTGAGGTATGGATGCAAGGCCTGATGTAAGCCTAGCCTCTTCATCCTTAATTAGGGATGTGAGCTTCCTACTGAATAAATCCTGACCTCCTTCTCTCTACCCTTAATTCTGAATGCAAAATTCCTGGACCTACTTTTAACAGAGATTAACAAACAGTTGCCTTTTAAAATGCTCCTTATGATTGTCACATTTTTCAGTAATGACCTTTGTGTGAAATAGCTAATTTTGTAGCCACTGGAATTATTTTCAGTTATAATACACAAATATTGTCAAAGTTGTCAGACTCAAAATAGAATCATTTGTATTAAAAACTCTGACAAATAGAGCAGAGGAAAGCCACGAATGGAGGGTTCTCATGCACAAATTCTTATCACAAGAGACTCTACAAAAACCACAACCTTGCATAAAGGCCATCACGACCTTATACAAAAAAAATACCTCTGTGAGGACATCTGCCTGTCCAACTTCAGACTGACACTACCCTTGTTATTGATTCTTGTAACCAAGATAATTATCTTAAAACAATTATGTAATCCTTCTCCTTTTTCCTTTAAAAAGCTTTGTCTTCCTTTACCTTCCTGAATATACTCATAGTTTACTATGCACATGTACTATCATTGTGATGCCTATTCCTGAATAAGCATCATTTTCTTTTAGAGAGTCTCTCTCTCTGTTTTTTAAATAGGTTGACAATGTAAATTTTAAAAAAATCATAAAAGTCACAAAAGAGCATGTATACATATAATCAAGAATTGTGCTTGTCTATACATTAAAGGGAATTTATGTTTTCATCTTTACTGACTTCCTCTATACTTTTAATTTACTATATAGTATATTAAAAATACTAGCTATAAAGCCATTGGTTTAGTAATTTTTTCTCACATTTTACAAATTTTTTATTACTGAAGTCTTCAAAGTCTTTTGTCTTTACTACAAACAAAAGCATGGTTTTTATTGTTGTAACAATTTACTTTTAACAGTTTTGATTTTACCTAAAATCAATTGTTTGTCCTCATTGCCAAGAAAGAAAATAGAAATTATTCCATAGTATATGTAAGAATGACATGAAATTTTGTTATTTTGTAAAAACAAAGTGGTTTATTTATAAATTGCATTTTAAAGGTAATAATGAGTAAAACTAAAGTCAATTTAGAATAATTTATACAATCATCTTCTGTTAATACTGCTGTTACTTCATGGACATGCTGTTCTCTCTCTGGGGGAGATTTTTTTACTCTCGGGATAAAAAGTTTTAACGTAAGTTATGATGATATCTTAAAGAGGCCTCATACTATAATTTAAAAATGTATATTTATACCTAAACAAGCATTAAATTTATTAGAATATTATTATAAAGCTTTTTTTCATGCTCAAATACTAGTTACAGGAAGTTGGAATTTTATTCTAATAAAATTAGAGGAAAGAAATCAATTTCAGTTTCTCTTAAGGTGCTAAATTTTTTTTTGCAAAAATAAAGAGCTTATCCGTCTTGAGTGCAAGTGAATAAATACTGTCATTTAACCAGTTAATTTTTAAAGAAGAGTTTTCATCTACTTATTTATCTGCATTGATTTTTTTTTAAATCAGTTAATTTACATTTTTGTGGGTTTTTTTCTGTGTTGTATAAATACAACTTTGACAGACATTGTTTTGTGTTATATTCCCTTTGTTAAGTATGGAAACATTTCAATTTAGGACCATTGAATGTCAAAACTAATAGAAAAAGACACGAACATTTACTTTATTTAACTCATTTTCCAATATGACCATTTTCTCAACTGTTTGTTTGTGATGCCTAAAGTTCTTTATTAATGATATAAAAATCTACAATATGTTCAATTTAAGGTATTATGCCATAATACAAACTTATTTTGTAATATTTTCCTTTTTTAGTATTCTTTAAACTTGCAAATATAATAGATGACCTTAAAATTTTAACTAGAGAAGTATAAATAAATATTTATTCTTTACTCTTACCTGTTCTCAAAAATTGGGTATGTATTCATCTGGCTATCATTTTACAGTTTTACAAATAATATGTTTAAATATGTAGATATGCTTTTTTATTTTTTTAACAGAAAATGTGTTAATCTCCATACTATTCTGTAATTTACTTTTTCACATGTGACAAACATCTACCTTGGGTCAAGTTCCCTAGAAAATAGCTTAAAGAAAAAGCTAATGTTCTAACTTATTAGCAAGTATAATCCCAGAAAAGTAGGAATGAGTCAGGGAAGAAAGGAGAACAACTGTGATGGATGCATTGCTAGGCTGGCTACTATGGGTGTCAATTGCAATTGATTGTGTGATCTCATGGGATCATCTTCCCAGAGGTTATATCAACTGTTTCATCTCAGGGCAGTTAATTGCTGGGATGAAGGGAGAAAAATGTATCTTTTAGTTCATATTTCCCAAATGTCAAAAATGCATTCACTGTATAGGGCATTCATTTTCCCTACAGTTCCAGATTGCCAGTGTTTGAGCACCAAATGGATCCCCTTGCCACTGACAGCTCAGCAGCAACAGAAAAGCCCAGGATGCAAAAGGTGGGAGGTATGATAAGGCCTGAAAAAAAGTCAAATGCCACCATACCAGCTGGGTAAGATTAGTAGCCAACAGTGTGGACACAGGTACTATCAACAGGATCTGAGGTGGTGATACCTCTGATGACTGAAACATGCTTTTCCATGTTTCCTGCATCTTACAGATATAGTTCATTCCTTTAAAGGGCTGAATAGTATTTCATTGAATAGATATACTATAATTTATTTAAAAATAATAACCTACCAGTAATAATTTTAATGATAAAGCAAAAAGAAAATAAGGCAGGAAAAAAATGGAAAAAATATAAAACATTGCCTTTGTTTTTGGGTCAGGATCATATTAATGAATTCTTCTATCCAAAAGTCCAACCTCCATTTCCTGTCTCTGTCTAACTTACTCAAGATCCAATCCCATAGGCATTCTGTCAATTCCTGCTGATATGTG